GGGATGAACAGACTTTAGTGACGTGTCTTACTCGACATGGCTTCCAGTACAAGACCTGGCTTATGTTTCTTACAGGAGCAGCTAACCAGCCTCTCAAAATAAAGAAGATACACACACACACACACACACACACACACACACACACACACACACACACACACACACACACACACACACACACACACACACACACACACACACACAATAAGTCTCTCTCTCAGCTTCTCTGAAATCTTGAGGAGATTTTCAATTAACTCAGCGGTTTCTCTCCCGGCGCTGCGTCTCCTTGGCTTGCTATCAACAAAGATGTATGAGCTTGTCTCTCCAAGTTCTCTTAATTAAGAAAATATATGAAGATACTCTCTTTTCTCTAATACTGCTAGACTTTTTTGATCATTATAGGTGGATAATATTTCTTTAGTCATGATAGGGTTAGGGAGTATATATAATATATATATATATATATATATATATATATATATATATATATATATATATATATATATATATATATATATATATATATATATATATATATATATATATATATATATATATATATATAGGAAAGGTTGTTGAGGTGGTTTGGACATGTAGAGAGAATGGAGCGAAACAGAATGACTTCAAGAGTGTATCAGTCTGTAGTGGAAGGAAGGCGGGGTAGGGGTCGGCCTAGGAAAGGTTGGAGGGAGTGGGTAAAGGAGGTTTTGTGTGCGAGGGGCTTGGACTTCCGGCAGGCATGCGTGAGCGTGTTTGATAGGAGTGAATGGAGACAAATGATTTTTAATACTTGACGTGCTGTTAGAGTGTGAGCAAAGTAACATTTATGAAGGGATTCATGGAAACCGGCAAGCCGGACTTGAGTCCTGGAGATGGGAAGTACAGTGTCTGCACTCTGAAGGAGGGGTGTTAATGTTGCAGTTTAAAAACTGTAGTGTATAGCACCCTTCTGGCAAGGCAAGACAGTGATGGAGTGAATGATGGTGAAAGTTTTTCTTTTTCGGGCCACCCTGCCTTGGTGGGAATCGGCCAGTGTGTTAATAAAAAAAATAATATATATATACATATATATACATATATATATATATATATATATATATATATATATATATATATATATATATATATATATATATATATATATATATATATATACATACAAGACAAACCAAGGGGTTCTTTCACACGTTTGCGAACGTCATCAGGAGCTGTACAATGAGCAGTAACGAAGCTGTACGAAGAGCAGTAACGGGAGGAATGAGGGGAAGTTTTCTCAGAATAAGGTAGACGGGCGACGCCAGTCATCTTCTCTCACATATAGTCAGTTCTATATCTGACCATATCTGACAGCAAGTGAAATGTATATGTCTCCCTTTAAAAAAGGAATTTTCAGTAAAGTTGAAGGACTTTTCTTTTTTTTCTGTTCGGTTGGCGTAAAAAAAAACTAAGGTAAACTCTTCTGGGAATTCCTATAAAATGGATTATTAAATATATATTTTTCTTGATCGAGTTACTGAATATTTTGATAATGGTATAAAGTGTCGACGAGATTAAAAATTGGACATGTACGCAACCCCTGGGTTTCTTTATTGGAAGACGTTTCTTCACTTGTTGGCGAAACGTCTTCAAATAAAGATACCCAGGTTTTACACTGATATAGTTTATTTGTGCCTCAGGTCGTCAGGTCTCTTAAGAAAGAGGTTTGACTATGTGCTTCCCTTGACTTGAGTGTCATAGTGACATATGTAAAGTAGCTGCTGTTTATTCTTCATGGCTAATGTACTTAGGAGTGAAACTTTATTAACTTTCAGTTCAGCTTTGAATATTCCTCTATGATCTTCAGCATGTTACTGGAGTACTCGCCTAGTTGTGGTTACAGGGGTTGATTCACAGCTTCTGGCCCTGCCTCTTCACTGGCTGCTACTCTGTGTGTGTGTGTGTGTGTGTTGAGACACAGGGGAGGTAGAAAGATCTCACACACACACACTTTATGAGAGTAGCCAGAGAGCGTCAGGGCCCAGACGTGAGGAGGCTGGAGATGAACATCCTGAACGTACCTCATCTGCTTTGCTCACCCCGGAAGATAACATTATCTCTTTCTAACACCCTGATGGAAGTACGTCCTCTCTCTCTTTCTCTCTCTCTCACTCTCTCTCTCCCTAAATAATTTTATTTAGGTACAGGTACACGTAAGTACAATTATCATACATGTATAAATTACTTAGGATAACCAAAAAAAAGTCAAAGTGACTTATTTCCTTTGGGGTCCTCTCTGTCTCTCTCTCTCTCTTTCTCTCTCTCTCTCTCTCTCTCTCTCCTCTCTCCTCTCTCTCTCTCTCTCTCTCTCTCTCTCTCTCTCTCTCTCTCTCTCCTCTCTCTCTCTCTCTCTCTCTCTCTCTCCTCTCTCTCTCTCTCTCTCTCTCTCTCTCTCTCTCTCTCTCTCTCTCTCTCTCTCTCTCTCTCTCTCTCTCTCTCTCTCATACACTAATACACCTAGACAAACACGATAGTTCTTGAGCTAAACAGACGGACGGAGACAGCTTTCCTCAGCCTCTGTGTGGACATCCACTTCTTCTGTTGTCCAACCTTCCCAAGTGTTCTCAAGTGAACACTTTCTCCATATCTTTCTACCTCCCTCTCTCCCTCCATCTCTCCTTCCCTCCTCCTCCACTGCACCCGCCCCCTCCCAACACCCTCCCTCACTCACCAATAACCTGCACCAACATTGGTACACAGTGTAAACATAATTTTCTGTCTCGTAGGTTGTCGTACAAAACATGTATGTGTCCAGTTTTGTGCCCCTGTATTTGCAGGTTCTATTTCATAATGCAGTTTTTCCTCCTGTACGAACGCTGCCTCGTTATTCCTAGTATTTACTCTGTCTCCTTCTCGCTTTCTATTTTTCCTGGCTCTCTCGTCTTCCTTCCAAGGGCTTTGCTAGTTTAAGAGTGAAAGTTCTGTTAAATATTTTATCAGCTGAAAGTTCGTTTAGCCTTCCTAAGATTTTTTTTTCAACTTCTGATAATGGCAATGGGTTAAAGTCGAGTTTAATAAAACGTAAATATCTTAGATGATTTAGATGCAGGTAAACATAAGGTTAAGGGGAAAATATATGAATTATCTTAGGGAGCAACGTTATTATAGTTCACACATAACAGTCGACGATATTCCGGTCCTTTCGAGACCATTACGAAGTCCCAGCCGAGAAAGAGAAAAATATTGGCATATGGGGTTTTAAGCCTATCGGCTACATGACTGCACGTAATCTGCCCAACAATAGAAATACTTCGGTCCCTTAAAGATAAGTTAAATTACTTATCCGTGTACATACACCTAGAAGTATACCTGGAGTATACCTAGAGAGGGTTTCGGGGTGTTAACGATCCCCACGGCCCGATCTGTGACCAGGTCTGTGTGTGTGTGTGTGTGTGTACTCACCTAATTGTACTCACCTAATTGTGGTTGCAGGGGTCGAGACTCAGCTCCTGGCCCCGCCTCTTCACTGATCGCTACTGGATCCTCTCTCTCTCTGCTTCCTGAGCTTTGTCATACCTCTTCTTAAAACTATGTATGGTTCCTGCCTCCACTACTTCACTTGCTAGGCTATTCCACTTGCTGACAACTCTATGACTGAAGAAATACTTCCTAACGTCCCTGTGACTCGTCTGAGTCTTCAGCTTTCAGTTGTGACCCCTTGTCCCTGTGTCCCCTCTCTGGAACATCCTATCTCTGTCCACCTTGTCTATTCCCCGCAGTATCTTGTATGTCGTTATCATATCTCCCCTGACCCTTCTGTCCTCCAGTGTCGTCAGTCCGATTTCCCTTAACCTTTCCTCGTACGACATTCCCTTGAGCTCTGGGACTAGCCTTGTTGCAAACCTTTGTACTTTCTCTAACTTCTTGACATGCTTGACCAGGTGTGGGTTCCAGACTGGTGCTGCATACTCCAGTATGGGCCTAACATACACAGTGTACAGTGTCTTGAACGATTCCTTATTAAGGTATCGGAACGCTATTCTCAGTTTGCCAGGCGCCCGTATGCTGCAGCGGTTATTTGGTTGATGTGTGCCTCCGGTGATGTGCTCGGTGTTATGGTCACCCCAAGGTCTTTCTCCCTGAGTGAGGTCTGTAGTCTTTGTCCACCTAGCCTATACTCTGTCTGCGGTCTTCTTTGCCCCTCCCCAATCTTCATGACTTTGCATTTGGCTGGATTGAATTCGAGAAGCCAGTTACTGGACCACATGTCCAGCCTCTCCAGGTCTCTTTGCAGTCCTGCCTCATCCTCGTCCGATTTAATTCTTCTCATCAACTTCACGTCATCTGCGAACAGGGACACTTCAGAGTCTATTCCTTCCATCATGTCGTTCACATATATCAAAAATAGCACTGGTCCTAGAACTGACCCCTGTGGGACCCCGCTCGTAACAGGCGCCCACTGTGATACCTCTTCACGTACCATGACTCGTTACTGCCTCCCTGTCAGGTATTCCCTTATCCATTGCAGTGCCCTTCCTTTTACGTGTGCCTGATCCTCCAGCTTCTGCACTAATCTCTTGTGGGGAACTGTGTCAAAGGCCTTCCTGCAGTCTAGGAAAACGCAATCTACCCAACCCTCTCTCTCGTGTCTTACTTCTGTTACCTTGTCATAAAACTCCAGGAGGTTTGTGATACAAGATTTGCCTTCCATGAACCCATGCTGGTTTTCATTTATAATCTTGTTCCTTTCCAGGTGTTCGTGTGTGTGTGTGTGTGTGTGTGTGTGTGTGTGTGTGTTGAGTGTGTGTGTGTGTGTGTGTGTAATTCCTGGTTAAAATAACCAACAATCATAATACAATAAAACACTATTTATGTATTAAGTTCCACCACAATAACTTAAAACTAAATTATTTCTTCCTATATTTGCATACTGCTGGACCATCCCACTGTCTTCTGATGTCCTCGTCGCTGTGTGGGTACGTGGACGTACCTATGGGCGTGCCTGTGGGCTTTGTCACGTACAGTGGTCCCCAAGGAGCCACCAGTCATCTCCGGGAGTCGTGAATACTACCAACAAAACGACCACGTTTCTCTAAATTGCACCTCCCCCCTGGCCCGACCCGCCCTCACCCTCACCTGGAACATTAATGGTCATCAGGTGAGTCACTACGAGTTACGGTGAGTCGCTACGGGTCACAGTGAGTCGCTACGGATCACAGTGAGTCGCTACGGGTCACAGTGAGTCGCTACGGATCACAGTGAGTCGCTACGGGTCACAGTGAGTCGCTACGAGTCACGTTGAATTACCACGAGTCACGGTGAGTTACTATAATGTAATCAGGGACTGATTATATTATATTTTGTATATAATTCTTCATATCATATCTTTGTATTGTACTGATAAAGTCGCTGGATGGCGAAACATCTACAAATAAAGATACCCAGATGCTGCCTATGTGTCTAAGTCTTCAAAGACCAATGAACTTTGAGGTCACAATCAGGTCACGGGTCAAGGGATATTGACCGAGTAACCAAACAAAAGACCTGTGTCAGGTGAAGTCACTTTGTTATTAAACCCACAACAAGCAATGAACTTTGACCTCTGAAGGTTACAGGTGAAAAGGAGTTCTTCCCTAGCGCAACGTTTCACTCAAGTATGTGGACTTGAGAGAAACGTTGTTGTATCTGTACTTGCTATACAGATTAAACAAAAGCAAAGCCGCTTTTATTATTTTCTAGCCACTGTCTCCCTAGAGATAAACTTTTTTTTTTTTAGACACATCTTACTGCACATCTCATGATGTAAATTTTTTTTTTTTTATATGGGTGGACTGGTAAATCAGCCGCAGGCCTCTTTCAAATTACCAAAACTCTGAGCAGGCCATTGCAAGGTATTGTGAGAATTTTTTCCATATATATATATATATATATATATATATATATATATATATATATATATATATATATATATATATATATATATATATATATATATATATATATATATGCTTAACAATCATTAGAGCACAAATATATTTTTGACGTGAATTCAGAGAGTACTTAAAGAGTAAACATTGAGAGATAAAAACCTTCGGGACTCTCTCTCAGGCTGTCAGCGGCCAGGAACCTGCATCCGCAGGTAATGACTATTTCCAGTTCAATTACCAGAGAAATGTACGTTCTTTCCCTGGCGCGTCCCTCACTGTCGCTCGGGAACGCAACCCTGATTTAATGGATACAATTATGGCCGAAGGAGCGGGACGCTCCGAGGCTCACCTGTACTCTTCTATCCTAGACTCATACACGTAAACATACACAAACACGTACTCTAGTGAAAGTAGACAGTTCTTTTCAGCAGATAGACTCGGTGAGGACTTACACGTCCTCTGGAATCAGTCATTCCTCATATACTCTCATGTACTCTTCCTTCATCTCCCGCTGTGTCACTCATCACAAACAAAGGAACAACGCACATGACACAGGTCTCGACCCCTCCAAAAGCTCCGGTTCGATTCCGAACCTAGCTGAGGATTTGGAAGGAATGTTTTAACATAATCTTTAACAAAAAAAAGGCAAAGTATCAGCCACAAAAAGGCATAACATTATATTTATCTAAGCCATTTTTGAAGTTTTCGTCTACATAATTGTAGATAACTCTCGTAATAAGTTATCACTGGGGATAAGGGTGACCTTAGTGAGCTAAGATAAACTTTGACCTATGGATTTCTGACCTTAAGATAACCAAAACAAACCCAAATGACTTCTGACCTCTCATTCCTGACCATTTAAAATTATTTAAATGACCCCAGATAACCCCTGACGTCTGACTCCTCACCTTAAAATTATTTAAATGATTCCAGATGACTTCTGAATCCTGACCTAAAGATGACCCAGGATGACTTGTGATCTCTCATTCCTGACTGCAAGATGACTTCAATGATCCACATGACCTCTAACCTCTGAGTGTTGACCTGCAGGTGTTGCCAAGCAGCGTCAAGACGGTAGAACACCTCACCAATCCAGCAGGGTTAGAGAAGCTGACAACCCATCTCAGTCTAAGGGTGACCCAAGATTACTTTCAAGATGGGGTGATGAGCATCGCTTGTGTGGGTCGCCTGGCTGACCTCTATTTAAAGTCAGCCGAGGTCATCATACGGGAGCCTTCCAGCCGATGGTTCACTCCTACCAACCTCTACCATACCTCAGGTGAGATACAGGAGATAGTCAGGATGAGAAGAGACCACCAGGGTAAACGTGAAGAGGTTGTAATATGAGAGAGAGAGAGAGAGAGAGAGAGAGAGAGAGAGAGAGAGAGAGAGAGAGAGAGAGAGAGAGAAAGCAACCACAACAATAAATGTGGTAAGAGAATTCCATGTCCAGATTAATGGAAGCAGGGTGAAAAATACTGGCATTGTATACAAACAACTATACTAATAATAATAATAATAATAATAATAATAATAATAATAATAATAATAATATTATTATTATTATTATTATTATTATTATAATTATTATTATTATTTTTATTATTATATTATTATTATTATTATTATTATTATTATTATTATTATTATTATTATTATTATTATCATTATTATAATATTAATAATAATTATAGTAATAATAATCTTTATTTCTACAAGTACATGATACAACTTATGCAGACCATAGCTGGCATCAATGATATTCTATATAGAAAGCCACTGGTTATGCAGAGCACAGGTAACTGAGGTTAATTTTGTCCCCAGGATGGGACCCACACCAGTCACCTAACACCCTGGTACCTACTCCCTGCTAGGCGAACAGGGACAGCAGGTTTATGGTACTCTATTGAGAAGACGTTTAGTCCAAAAAACATTATCAAATCTCAGTAGTTTCTCATCAAAGTACTGTAAAATTAGGAGCATTCCTCACATAATTATACATTATTATACACGAATCAGAAATAACTACCATTTCTCATTTGAGCTCGAAGCTCAAGAGTAGCGCCTTGGACTCACAACCGATGAACCTGGGTTCATTCCTGGGCTGGGCGAGACGTGTGGGTAAGTCTCAATACACTTACTACAGTTGTTTACCAAGCGACAGTGACGTACTCAGATGTTAGTTGATTGTTGAAGGTAAACAAGATGCTAACTTTTAACTGTTAAATAACCTGAAACAGGATAACGGCTTGTAACTTGTAAATTGAGATATGATAACAGACCTTAACTTGTAAATAACCTGAGGCAGGATAACAGCTTGTGACCTGTAAATTGAGATAGGATAACAGACCTTAACTTGTAAATAATTGAGGCAGGATAACAGCTTGTAACCTTCAATGAGTTGATACTGGATAACAGATCTTAGCTTGTAAATAAACTGTAAATGAGTTGATACTGGATAACAGACCTTAGCTTGTAAATAGCTTGTAAATGAGTTGATACTGGATAACAGACCTTAGCTTGTAAATAACCTATAAATGAGTTGATACTGGATAACAGACCTTAGCTTGTAAATAACCTGTAAATGAGTTGATACTGGATAACAGACCTTAGCTTGTAAATAACCTGTAAATGAGTTGATACTGGATAACAACCTTTACTTTTTTAAATAACCTATAAAGAGTTGATACGGGAAACAACCTTAGCTTGTAAAAAAACTGAAAATGAGTTATACTGGATAAAAACCCTTTAGCTTGTAATAAACGTAAATGATTATACGGAAAAAAACCCTTTAGCTTGTAAAAAAACCGAAATGAGTTGATACGGAAACGACCTTAGTTTGTAAATAACCTTAAATGATTGTACTGGAAAACAGACCTTAGCTGGAAATAACCGTAAAAGTGATATGAATAAAGACCTTAGCTTGTAAAAACCTTAAAAATTTACACGGATAACAGACCTTAGCTTTAAAAAACCCTTTAAAATGAGTTGATAGGTAAAAACCCTAGTTTGTAAAAAACCCCTTTAAATAAGTTGAAAAGCCAACAACCTTAGCTTGAAAATAACTTGAAAATGAGTTGATACTGGATAACGCCCTTAGTTTGTAAATAACCTGTAAAGATTTGATCGGGACAACAGACCTTGCTTGTAAATAATCTGTAAATAAGTTGATACTGGACAACGGACCTTAGCTTAATAACCTGTAAATGAGTTATACGGAAAACAGACCTTAGTTGAAAATAACCTTAATAAGTTTACGGGAAAACGGCCTTAGTTGTAAAAAACCGTAAATATTGATACTGGAAAACAACCTTAGCTTGTAAATAACCTTAAATGAGTTGATACTGGACAACAACCTTACTTGTAAATAACCTTAAAAGTTGATACTGACAACAGACCTTAGCTTGTAATAACCGTAAATGAGTTGATACGGATAACAGCCCCTTAGCTTGTAAAAAACCCTTAAATGAGTTGTATGGATAACAACCTTACGGGAAAATAACCCCTGTAAATAGTTAAAACTAAAACAGACCTTAGCTTGTAAATAACCTGTAAATAAGTTGTTTACGGAAAACAACCTTAGCTCGTAAATAACTTGTAAATATTTTGATACGGAAACAGACCTTAGTTTGTAAAAAAACCTGTAAATGATTGATCTGGATAACAACCTGCTTGTAAAAACCTGTAAATGATTGATATGGAAAACAGACCTTATTTGAAATAACCGTAAATGAGTTGATACTGGAAAACAGACCTTAGCTTGTAAAAACCTTAAATGAGTTGATACGGGATAACAGACCTTATTTTTGCAAATAACCGTAAGAGTTATACGGGATAAAAACCCTTAGCTTGAAATAACCTTTTAAATGAGTTGATACGGGATAACAGACTTTAGCTTGTAAATAACCTTTAAAAATGATTTTGATGCTGGACAACAGACCTTAGCTTGTAAATAACCTGAAAATGATTTAAAACGGGGATAACAACCTTAGCTTGTAAAAACCTTTAAAAATGAATTGAAAAGGACAACAGACCTTAGCTTGTAAAAAACCCTGTAAATGAATTGAACGGAAACAACCTTAGTTTGTAAAAAACCCTGAAAATGATTGATACGGATAACAACTTTAGCTTGTAAAACCTGAAAATGAGTTGAACTGGAAAACCCCTTAGTTTGAAAAAAACCCTTAAATAATTGAAACTGGAAAGCCCTTTTAGCTTAAAAATAACCTGAAAATGAAATGATACGGGATAACAGACCTTACTTTAAAAAACCGTAAATGTTTATATGAAAACGACCTTGTTGAAAATAACCTGTAAATAAAATTGATACTGGAAAACAACCTAGCTTGAAAAATAACCTTAAAAAATTTGATAGGGTTAACAGACTTAGCTTGTAAATAACCTGTAAATTTAAATTTTGATATGGATAACAGACCTTAGCTTGTAAAAAACCCGGTAAATGAATTGATACGGATAACAGATCTTAGCTTTAAAAAACCGAAAATAAATTGATACTAATAAAAACCCTTAGCTTTTAAATAACCTGTAAATGAGTTGAACGGAAAACGCCCTTTAGCTTGTAAATACCTTAAATATTTTTATATGGTAACAGACCTTACTTGTAAAAACCTGTAAATAAACTGATACGGGACAACAGCCCCTTAGTTGTAAAAAACCGTAAATGAGTTAATACTGGACAAAAACCCGTAGCTTGTAAAAAACCCGTAAATGATTTGATATGAAAACAGACCTTAGCTTGAAAAAAACCCTTTTAAATGAGTTGATACGGGATAACAGACCTTAGCTTGTAAAAAACCCTTAAATGAGTTATACGGGAAAAACAGACCTTAGCTTGTAAATAACCTGTAAATGGTTGATACTGGATAACAGACCTAGCTTTAAAAACTATAAATGATTGATACTGGATAAAAAACCCTTAGTTTGAAATAACCTGTAAATGATTGATATGGAAAACAGACCAAGTTTGTAAAAAACCCTGAAAAAGAGTTGATACGGATAAAAGACCTTAGTTGAATAACCGTAAATGAGTTGATACTGAATAACAGCCCTTTTTCTGTAAATAACCTTAAATGGTTGAAACTGGTAACAGCCTTATTTTGTAAAAAACCCTGTAAATGATTTTGAAAGGTAACAGCCCTTCCCTTGAAAAAACCCTGTAAATGAGTTGATACGGGATAACAAACCTTACTTTAAAAAACCCCGAAATGTTTGAACTGAATAACAGCCTAAGCAGGATAACACTGTTTATGTAAATGAGCTGAAGCGGTAACACTGAAAATATGTAAATGGCTGAAGCAGGAAACACTGATAATTTTAAATGACTGAAGCAGATAACACTGATAATATTGAATGAGCTGAACAGGATAACATCTTTATTTTTGAAATTAAACTGGGGGAAAAACAAGTTATTTTTACACTTTAAATACTTATAATAAAAAAAAAATACAAGAAACAGAAGAATTTTTTAAAATTATATATCTTTTAACTTAAAAAAAATCATTTTTTTCCACAAATGAGGTTAATATAATTATCAATTTTAAGAGAATATTTGATGAATCATAATTGCGATAAAATTTTCACCATTCGGTATTAATTATCGTATTTCCCCTTTGCATTTCAAGGTCGAGTATTCTCCCCTCCATCTAAAGGGTTTTTTTTCTGTGTTGTTTGTATTTTATTTGAGGGAAGGTTTAGTAAAAAATGATTTTGTTATTTTAATTATTTTTATTATTATTTTTATTATTTTAATATTATTATTTTATTAATTTTTTATTATTTTTATTATTAAAAGTATATAGCAGTAATAGTAGTAGTAGTATTGTTGTTTTATAAAATTATTGTTATTATTATTTTTAATATATTATTTTTTATTTTTATTATTATTTTATTTTTTATTATTATTATTAATATTATTTTTATTATTATTATTCTTGGCATTAGTGAACGAAATTATTTTTTCTTTATTCTCCAAGTCCCTTTAAACCTCTCTCCCCTCTCTCCCCCTTTTCTCTCTCTCCTCCCCCCTTCCCTTTTTTTCTTCTCCCCCTCCTCTCCTCTCCTCTCTCTCTCTCTCTCCCCTCTCCCCTCCCTTTTCTCTTCCCCTTTTTTTTTTTTTTTTTTTTTTTTTTTTTTTTTTTTTTTTTTTTTTTTACACGGGGTTTTTACAAGGTTAAGGGTCCCCGCTTTTTTACAGCATTTACAGGTTAAGGGTTCCTAAAATTTTGGCAAGCAAGAGCTGTTACCTTCTCAGCCATTTGA